GATAGATAGATAGATAGATAGATAGATAGATAGATAGATAGATAGATAGATAGATAGATTGATTATCTATCTGTGGTCACATATATAGACTTAGGTGGACCTCCAATCAGAGTCTTTAAAGGGTTATACCAGTGGTGGGTTCCGGATCCCGTTGCAACTGGAACGCTGCGACGGGGCCGGGCGTCCACTATGTGCACGCGTGTTGCACATGCATGCGCACCCACCGCCCTGCGATGCTTCAGTTGCTCGGAGCATCGTGCACCCGCTGTACGCTGCGTCTGTGTGCGCAAATGGCAACATTGGCTCAAATAGAGGTAAGGAACACGGGCGGGCAGGTGGGCCCTCCAAAGCACCATTCCGGTACGGTGGCTGCTGTTCCCGGTACGCTCGTACCGGGGCGTACCGTCCGGAACCCACCCCTGGGTTATACCATAGATGCAATGGATCAGCCTCATGGCATCAGCCTTGCATTGCATCAGTTTACAGATTACAGCTTACAACCTTTCATCCGCTGGCAGCTATTAAATTCTCCATACCTTGACAAAAAATGAACCATAAAAGAAGTTAAAAAAAGAGAGGAGAAAAGATAAGTTGTCGAAGGAAAGCCGTACAGTTATTGGACAACGCCGTACGGTGTTTAAAAGCCACAATCACGGCACTTCCCCTTCTGTGTTGGCAGTCTATGGGGTCGAGGTGCTGCTGAAAGTCACCGGCCTGGGACCGAAGGAGTACCTCTCTTCTGGGTGGAATCTGTAAGTATCTCCCCATTTAAGAGACTTGGCGTTGGGGGGCTTGTAGGGACGCCGCTTGCGGCTGCCAGTTAGAAAATCCATTTCTCTTTCTCTCTCTCTGTTTTTTTCCCCAGTTTTGATTTTGCCGTCACCTTGTTTGCGTTTTTGGGTCTCCTGGCACTGGCATTCGATATGGAACCTTTCTACTTCATTGTTGTGCTGCGGCCTCTGCAGTTGCTGAGGTGAAGATACAGGATGGGTCAGATTACCTGTAGAATTGGGGGCGGGGTGTCTTCTAGCTACGGAGAAACTACAAGTCCCAGATTCCCTTGTCCTTGACCCCTGGTTGCAAGAAAGACCTCCTCCTTCTCTTTCTTTTTTTTCTTCTCCATCTCCTCCTCCTCCCCCCCCCGTCCCCTCCTCTCCTCCATCTCCTCCTCTTCCTCCATCTCCTCCTCTTCCTCCATCTCTTCTCCTCTTCATCTCCTCTTCTTCTTCTCCATCTTCTCCCCTTCTCTTCTTCCTCTTCTCCTCCATCTCCTCCTCCTCTTCTTCTCCTTCTCCATCTCCTTCTCTTCTTCCTCTCCTTCTCCATCTCCTCCTCCCCTTCTCCTCTTCCTTTCCTCCTCCATCTCCTTCCCTTCCCCAACTCCATCTCCTGCTCCCCCTCTCCGCCTCCTCTTCCTCTCCTCCATCTCCTCTTCTCCTCCATCTCCTCCTCCTCTTCTCCTTCTCCATCTCCTTCTCCTCTCCTTCTGCTCTTCCTTTCCTCCTCCATCTCCTTCCCTTCCCCAACTACATCTCGTCCTCCCCTTCTCCTCCACCTCTTCCTCTCCTCTTCTTCTTCTCCATCTCCTCCTCTTCTTCTCCTCCATCTTCTCCCCTTCTCTTCTTCCTCTTCTCCTCCATCTCCTCCTCCTCTTCTTCTTCTTCTCCATCTTCTTCTCTTCTTCCTCTCCTTCTCCATCTCCTTCTTCTCTTCTTCTCCATCTCCCCCCCTTCTCCTCTTCCTTTCCTTCTACATCTCCTTCCCTCCCCCAACTCCATCTCCTCCTCCCCTTCTCCTCTTCCTCTCCTGCTCCATCTCCTCTCCTCCTCCTCTTCTTCTCCATCTCCTCCCCCTCCTCCTGTTATGATACAACAGCTTCCTATTCCTGCTTCTCACAGTCCACATGTCTTAAATCATGCTTCCTGGGGGAAATCTGGGAGTAAACGCCCTCCCATCTTAAAACATGCTGATTAAAGAGCTTTGGAAGTCCATATATCTTCAAGTTGCTGAGATTGGAAAAGATTGCTGTAGGCAACTCACACATTTTTTTTTCCTTTCCCTTATTGCAGGCTGTTTAAATTGAAGAAACGTTACCGGAATGTCTTGGATACAATGTTTGAGCTTCTTCCTAGGATGGCCAGGTACAGAGAATGAAAGATTCCTGCCTGGATTGGTTGCTGGGGAATTGAAGTCTACATATCTTTAAAAAGTTTTTTAAAAATTGTAAAAGTTTTTTATTTATTTTCCATTATATATTTATTTATTTATTTATCAGCACAATATATATAAAGTCACAACCCCTGGTATGCCCCAATTATGGGAGGAAGCTAATTGCTTCCATTCTCTGTCAATCGGCTCGTCACAAGAGTCCATTACGACAGAAACCCAATATTTTTACTGTTGCCTTTGTTTATCAGCACAAATAAAACACACACACACACACACACACACACACACACACACACATATATAC